TGTTTTGTGTGGGGGGCTGGAGGGGAAGAGACTAAGAACTGCTGTGGTCAGGAACCTGATCACTTTTTAACTTGATAGAAGTAGGTGCCATAACTGCTGGGATTTGTCACAGGTCTGTCATAGATCTAACAAGATTTAATTAATTGGCATGTTAGTTCTAGCAGGTGTGAAGGCATGTAGGATCTCTAGTAATTTGTGCAACTTTTCTTAGGGTTATGACAGTAAAGGCAGTGAATTATTTTCCACTTTAAAAATTCTCTATTCCAGTATACAAATCATTAACAAACATATTGAACAGCACTAGACCGAGGACAAACCACCGTGGAACTCAACTTGAAACCTCCTGCTATTACAGCCTAGATCCATTTGTATCCAACATAGATTCATTTGTAATTACTCTTTGCTTATGGCTATTGAGCTGGTTTTACGTCCATCTCGTAGTTGTTTGGCCCATGTTTCTCAAATCTGTTCACCAGAAAGTCAAGTGTGACTTGTGGCAAAAGTTCTTATGTGCTCTTGAAGAAAGTGCCCAGGAACTCAAACGAATGCCACAGCTCATTAGATATCGGATTTACCCAAAGAACCTTGACAGCTCATTAGGGCATTTGAAAGAGGCCATGAAAACGTAGCAAGATTTTTAACCTCATGTTCTGAAGATGCCTGAATGCTCTTAAAGGAAGGAGCAAAAAAGAAAGGATTCTTGGAAAAGGAAGGGCTCTCTCCCCCCGAAAGCATAAAAAATTCTGAGTTATTCAGAGTTATAACAACTTCACAATCTTTAATTCCAGGGATTTAGTTTTAGCCATAAAAGCTAGACTACAGAAGGCTAGGCATAACGCCCAATTCTTTAGCAAAAAGGTATAATAAAGCAACTACCAAACAAACCACACAAATTAAAAACTACACTGGTTATCTCAATACTTATCTGAAGCACATATTGTATCACGAGAGTCTAAAGTGTCTAGTCTCACTGTTCTGAGCATTAAAGAAGGAACTGAAAGACTGCTGGACCAATGCCACACTTCATAATCTTGGGCATAGAGAAAGAGGCACAAGAATGTCTAGAGTTAGGGACAGCTCTAATAGCTCCCCCCCACCCCCACACACAATCTTAGGCATGCACTCATCAAAA